TAACCTGCCCGCTAGTTTGCCCTATATACCATACAAAAAACTTTTTGATTTAATATGTAGGTAAATGTTAATGTGTTAATTTCCTGCGTTATTTATTTGAGAAAAGTTCAATATCGGTGGAATACCCTTTTTTCGACTTCCTTTAATGAAATTAATATAATAAACATATAATATGTTCTACGAGTAATCCTTTCAAATATTAACTTCAGTTTTACTGTTTGCTAATTAGCCTAATTACTATACTATAGTAAAATAGCGTAGTCTAATTAATAAACTTTGTTCCATGATTGACGACTAATATCAGACTAGTCATTATCATGACACGAATGTGTAGTGAAGTTTTTATTTACAAAACAATCCACCTAAACAACGCATGAGGCACAAACCCCTGCTTGTAATGCCAAATATTTCCGGATGACGAACGCTAATGCGATGCGACGGCCGGTCAAAAAACATTGGCTCAACATATCGATATGATTTCACTATTTGTTTTTAAAATAAACGCTTTGTTGATTTTAATTTCGGTAACGAAGTTTACAGGCTAATTATACAGCTACTTTTCAGCCTTTTTTGCGTAAATATATTATGCCTAATTTAAATTATAGAAAATGAAACGATTCGTGATATTGACACTGTGTCACACAACACCACATAATAATTAATTTGTGCATTATTTGTTTAATTTTTTACCTTCTATTAGGTCGTTTTATCAAGATAAATGTGGCAAACATTACGAACCACGATGATGATGTACTCTGATACGTTATCTTTTTATTTACTATTAAACCAAGTTATATTTAGAAATGCAACGTAGTTTTAACGGTGAATAAAAAAACATGTAGGTCTTTTAATACATATATGTACTCGTATGTATCTACATATACATAGCAGGTATATAATATCCAAAAACGTTTCTTATAAAGATAACCGGAAGCCTATAAAATTATAAATGTAGTGTTGGTTGTTGCCAAGCTTGGTTTTTTGATTGTCGGGATGTGTTTTGGATAAAAACGAGAAATCTTTTATAGTTAGTTATAAGTTTATTTACATATACATAGTTAATCGATTTTTTCTTCTTCCTTTGCGTGTTGTTATAAATGTCAATGACGTAATTAGTCTTTTTTTAAATGACACACATCGAGGTCTGTAAATTATTCAAGTAGTATATTATTCTGAAAATCGAATCTAGAGACTTCGGAAAGTTAGTTATGATAATTGCATAGAATTGGTGGCTAGAGGCATGGCCTCTGAGCCACCATCCTACAAAAAAGTGACTGGCCCCCTGGCCGCCATGACACCGAGAATCTTCTCTGAGCCATCAGACGAGCTGTATTTCCCGCGATCCTCAAGCTGATTGAGCCATCCGATCTTTGCAAAGTATTTTTTTCTCACAAACTGTACTACGCTCCTGTGCGCATGGAATCTTTAATTGAAAGACAAACAGAGTAGCCGAAAATGGTCTACATTTTCGGCTATTCTGTTTGCCGGCCTTTCAATTCGACAACATTTTACTCGGAGCGGTAACATTTTTGTTAAGATATGAAAATATTTTGTTGCTCTATTTCTTACAGTGCAAAATATGTTTACCAGACAATCACTCCGTGTTATAAATAGTTATTTATAATATAATTTTATTAGGAAAACCAAATCCCTAAGTCCGTACACTAAACCGAGACTCTGATGATTTTCTTCTATTTTAAGATCTGTACACAACCGTCACACTTCGTCAAGATGTAAAGCTCTGCTATGTAATAAATATTTTGTTGAGGTAGATAATGAGTGATGAGTATATCAACTCGCACTTGTCCGGTAATTTCTTATAGTCGGAAAGAATTAGCGAATCTACGAAGAAAATTGATAACCTTCATTTTATTTTTAACCCCCGACGCAAAAGCGACGGGGGTTAAAAATAAGTTTGACGTGTCTGTGTGTGTATGTCTGTCTCTGGCATCGTAGCTCCCGAACGGATGAATCGATTTTGATTTTGTTCAAATCCAAGATGTGTGTCGGGGGCTTTTCTTTTTTTTTTGTCCGATAGTTGATAACGTTACGATTAACATATTTCATTTCAACGCGGATCCGATCGTGGAAATATTGTTAAAAAAATGCCAAAAACTGTCAAAAACGGTTTATCGCGTTTTACAAGAAAACTTCAAATCGTAGAAAGTGTAAACGTACAAAAAATGCGCAATATAAAACACGAACAAAATGAGAGTTGTAAAGATCCACTCAGTTATTTTTTTTCAAATTGCAAAATACCGCGTTTTTATCATTAAAAAAATATGAATCGCGTTCTAATCAATATGAAGACCCCAAATTTTGTGAGAATGTGGGTTTTCAATTTCACGATTTTTGGACCCATTTTCCGCTAATTCTATCCGACTATTAGGTTTGACGGAGGCGTTGTGAAACTTGTACATTACAGTTATTCATTCAGAATACATCGATAAGCATGTGCATGTGATATGAATATGGAATAGTATCGTGATTTCGTTTTAATAAACAGTAATATATGTTATTTAGAGAAAGCCATATAATAACCGATTGAAAGATTTTTATTATTCTTTGTTTACTGACTCGTCAATGGATGTTACTGGCAGTCAAATAATGGAAAACAATATATAGGTTTAATATTGATAGAGAGTATCGCAAAAGTGCTCTTTTAGAATTAGTGTGTGCTGAATAGCTAATTTAGCTTAAACATTATTCAAATTCTATAATCTTCTAAGTGCCATTTAGATAATCACTTACTTTTCTAAAATTGTTAGTGTTTTACGTTATTTATGATTTCTACAATACGACTCTTAATATATAACCACATTTTTCTGTAAAATTGGATATATGTATTACCTGAATTGTTTGCTACCTTGCCTAAGTTCTTCTTGTTTATTACATTATATTAAAGTCCTCGTCCCCGTAGAACTGGTGATGATTCTTTTGTATCTGAACACATAAAAGAATCTGATTAATAGTTGGATCAAATCGATTGAAGGGTAGTAATAACAATAATAATCGAATTCGTATTCAAATTCGCCTCACAAAATTAATACGTTCATTTTTAAATAATTCGCCTTTTAAACTAACAAATTAATCAAATTGTCTATGTAAACAATACGATCATATACTACATCTTTATTCCCTCCCTGCACATTGAATAATCATGCCATCAGAATGCATAATTCAGTATCATACATAAATGAATAATTGTTACATAAAATCACAGCTGTAGGAAGAACTTTTTTGCGTATTTCGCTTTATAAAGCAGTAATCACAGAATTACATATAATTGTAGCTTTAAAAACAAAGTAATTATAGTTTGCACGGTCTAATAGCCAAAGGAATCATTCAGTGTCATTAACTTAACATTAAAGCGTAGTGTGTGCGGAGGAGTAAAATCGTGAGGAGAAAATCATACTGCACTGCTACTATGATACATTATATAGATACTTATAGCACTAGAGTATTATTATATTAATGTCAGTGTAATGTTAATTTAACAGTAACGTGAGATTCTGCTCAAGCTTTGAGTAATTTACATTTTTTGTTCTAGATCAAGGCAAAGGTAACATATTCACTCCTCCACACATGGCAGAATTTTAGTTTCACTAAACCTGCGGGAACTACGTTTATTGGTTTAATTATATTACTTATTAAGAAAGGTTTTACAATTTCGTTTGATAAGGATTTAGATAAAATATTTCTTCAATTAAACAATGAGGGATAAACGTTTGGGCGATGAGAGAATATATATTATCTCCGAGACGCCGGCGCCGCGTGTTTTGTGCGTCCCACATGCAGACAACTACAACTACCTCGATAATTTATTATTCAAACGCATCTGTTTTCGTTTGCGATTTATCTTTTAAAAGCCCTCACTAGTCTTTTAATTTTCATCTGAATCATTACAGCACATGATACTGTTTGTGTTTTTTTCCAACCTTTTTACACATACATCTTCTCTTGACATACAAATATGGAGACAAGATGGCGTAATGAAATAGAAAACCTTTGTAACAAATGAAATAAATAATGATTGAAGGAGGTAAAAGTTTTGTAAGAAGTCATTATCATCGTGTTAGCCAATTGTATTAAAACCGTAGCATATATGCCTGTACCGAACACTTCCAAAATAGTCAATTACGTTTTACCTTTTACCAACGGCATCGTTTTAACAGGATCGTTCTACCCAGAACCCGGTTGCTGAATAGCCGATACTTTCCATTGCAATCGTCAGTTGACAATAGGAGAACTTTTTCGAATACAGCCATTATAACTTCCTAGTATTTGTGCGAATATTTCTTCATTTCAAATTGCGATACGATATGTAGGAAAAGTAAAAACTCCATCACCAGCCTATCGCTGTTCAATCCTACGTAATGAGTAGATATCAAAATTTTTAAGTATCTTTCTGGCTTATTTTTTATTATCTCGGGAGCCATTCACGTATAAACCGAATAAATGTTACTGATTTATAGGTAGAAATAAAATATTTATATACAAATGTCTATTGTAGATAATTTACAACGTCTTATTCAAATTTAAACGTAAACTAAGAAGGAAATAAGGAAATTAAATCATTAACTATGGAATTGTGCAAGTACCATCTTAATCACGTGTCAATTTATAAGAATGAATACCTACCTTGATATTGTGGGACTGGTTTGCTATATGAAAACAAATGGTTTGCCAAGTAATTTAACTACAGGCCGGGTAACTTTGTCTGCGATTCTTGTCCCCTTTTAAAGACACCCAGAGTAACTGGTTTTTCAAAACTTGACTTAAACACCTGAGCCAGATTTGGGAACTTCCGAATTCGTGTTGACTTTACACAAAAACTATCTACAAATATCATTTATTAATTCTAAAGAACTTTGATATTAATTTTAAGACGATTTAAAACTTTTATAGCAATATAACTGATCGTTACTAAAACTAGTTTTAAGATCTTGGTATAAATGTACGTATATTTAATTATTTGAATACATCGACTTAAACCAATTATGGTAAGTGTCTATCTATGGTTTCTACTATTAGCATATAACAAGTTTTCTTCTCTGTCTTCTTATCTGTAAAAAATGCACAAGCTGTTTTGGTTATCCAAATTAAGGATTTAAATGTACCATACTTGTTGGTAGCAACTTTCTTTCTTTGGTCTTGTGTAGGTTGAAGGTCCTTGCCTAATGGGATAAGTTCAAACTGAAAAGGAAGTGGTTTAGGGTTTACCTATTATTCATCATAATTTGTGTTGTCGTGTTTACCGCTACAAGCATTGCTTGCACTTCTTTGCCACCACAGTTATATAACAAAAATTTTTCCTTCCATTGTTCACAGCTCTCAGAAGAAGTGCAGAGAAAACAAAGCGAATACCAAAAGTGTTTGGAGTCCTACAAACAAATGAGAACGAAGTTTGAAGAGAACTACCTGAAATGTAAGTGTGAGTTTATTTTTTTGTTATTAACTCATTACCTACTTGCATTAAGTTTTGAAGTTTTAGGGCAGTGGTATTATATAATTCTAATTTTCATTGCATAATTGTGGTGGTTAAAAAATAGTTGTGATGATCATAAATAAAAAGGGACACTCATCATCTGGGTGTTCTTTGTGTTTGTTCAATGAATGTTTGTAAAGTCCCCCGCGATATAAGATATATTCCTAGTGCGGGAGTTATCTTTAAAACAAAAAAAAAAACACAAGAAAACTTGAATATGACACTAGAATTATACTTCTCCTCCTATTTCCGAAAAAAAAAATCTAGTCTTAATAGAATAAGCTTTGACAATTTTATTATTAATGCTCATATAATACAGCAGTTGAAAAGTTTACCTAAATATAGAAATTAAATTAAAGACAAAGGTTTGGATTACAGTTAGTAGTTAGAATCAATTTTACATTGAGTTTTTGTCCAAGGTATCCTACTTCTTACTTCCCTTTTTCCCAGAAGTTCTAAGTATATTAAGTCAATAAAAAAAGGAGTTCGTATTCTTCAAATATTCTTCAGTTTTTAAATTCTCTATTCCAGGCCCGACAAGCCGAGGAGGTCGCAAGCTCGATGAGACTCGGGACAAGTATGGCAAAGCATGTCGTCGTCTTCACCGAGCTCATAACGAGTATGTGTTACTGTTAGCCGAAGCAACAGAGTGCGAGCGCGCGTTACGCACTGCTGCGCTGCCAACTCTATTGGAGCAGCAGCGCCGGCAGGGAGAGGCAAATGCCACGTCATGGTACGTACTTTGTGCTAGATCTACAAGTTTGTGACATGATATGATATAATAATTTCAAAATGTTGCTATTGTTTTAATTTCAAATGTTTCATATAAAGTAAGATTCATCATCATCATCATCAACAGCCTATAATAGTCCACTGCTGGACATAGGCCTCTCCTTATAAAGGAGGTTTTGGCCTACTATACCACGCTGGCCAGATGGGTTGGTATAGGGTTTGTTTCAAGTTTTCCTTCTCTATGTCCTAGTCTTGTTGTCCTGCGTAGTTTGCTCCCATAGTCGGCTCTTACGACACCCACGGGAGGAATGAGGGTGGTAACACTTCGTATTCTTAATCCGTTATCACACGGACATAAGATTCACTAATAGTTAATTAAGATCGTGCTTATTTTATTTACATTTACGTAAAAATTGAGATAGCCCTTAGACTGAATGGAGGAAAGGAAAGGTTCGACGTGTAGCAGTAAACCTTATTATTGCTATTCGTAGGACTTGCATCTCCCCTGTGACATAATGTCGTACGCAGTGACGTAAAATTTTCGGGGAATTCAACGTGCAAAATAGTAGCGATGTCCTGTCTAATGTGTCTATAATATAAAATATTTTCTGCCACAGGAAAGGCGTGCTTCTAGAAGTGGTGCAGAGGTCTGACTACAGTACAGACAAGTTTCGTGAGATTCAAACCAAAATCGAGACCACAATACAGAATTTAAGGCCGCAGGATGAATACAAAGAGTTCCTTGAAAAGTACAAGTCAGTATTTATTTGTTAAACAGTCACTGTACACTAACAATTTACAGAAAATACAAACATTTAAATAATGTGTATGTAAGAGTCAGATAATTTTATTTATAATATATTACGTGTTACGGCAACAACGAGGGAAATAGAGTATTAAATATGAATGAATTTAATAAAATTAAATATGATTGAACTACTTGAGGTTATGATGACATGGACACTAGAAACTGCGGTTTAGTAACCTAGTTGCAGCTGAAATTATTGGTTAATCTATCAATTTGTATGAAATAGACGTTAATTAACATAAAATAATTACAATATTTCACAAATAAAATAGTAATAAATTCACTTTGTGACTCGTAAATCAAAATATAGTTATGATAAAAAAGTTTGAGTATATTCGCAGATTACTTTAGAGATTTAACTTGTCAAAATATGGCCTCATTTTAAAATGTACTTACACGTATCTAGACGTCTTTAATTCCATTAGAACAACATTTGCATTAGTTTTTTTGTTTACGAAAAGGTCATTATACGCTATTTTTAAGCGACTTCAAAACCAAAATAGGAGGTTCTCAATTTGACTGTATTTTTATTTCATATGTTTGTTACGCGATATCTTCGTCTAATTGTGAACCGATTTTCAATACTCTTTTTGTAATCGAAGGTCCCGTGGAATACTCCCGTGGTCCCAGTACCACAAATTAGGATCTGATGATGGGATTCTAGAGAAATCGAGGAAAACCCTAAAATTTTTATAGCCCCGACAATGTGTTTTAGCTTGTATAGGTATATAGTCTAGCTATAAAGGTATTTGCTTTTAGTAGTCGCTAAATCATGTTGTTGAGCTGATGATGGAGGGATCCTTGACCTTTAGAAGTTACAGGATAACCCTTTCAAAAATCTAATCATGCATTCACCTTGTTTTATTATTTCTTAGGTAAACAGACGTTCCCTTATCTTCTAGGTATCTAATGCTATTATAATGTTTTAACAGGTATTGAGGAGCGCACTTATTTTAGTTTATTCACTTAGATTTGTAATTATTTTTTAATTTTTTAGTGCTCTTTATGTGAAGTTGGTTTAACCTTTTAAAAAGGATTTATCTGTACTGACTAACAAACAAATTCACATTCGCATTTGGTTCTTAAAACACAAAAGTGATGTAATTATATTCAGTTATTGTTATAATTTTTTGTAAAGCATTTATATTTCGAATACCATTGGACTGGTTCCTTCAACATTATGAAGTTCATTATTGATAGAGCTGTTCGTATAATACTCTAAAAGCAGTTTTGCTTTGTTATGTTCATGAATCCTAGAAATCCTAGAAAAAAAAAATGCTGTTTAGGCTTTTTGTTATTTTTAGTTTTACATGTATTGGAATATACATCCTTCTGTAGGGAGAAATTAGAAGTGCCTGGCGACTTCAAGCATAGCTTTATAAAGCTGCGGTTATGTAAAGTGATATGCATGAGAAGCGCATTGCATAGGTTTTCTTTTTCAATTTGTATAAGGCGGTTAAAGGCATAAGCCCCACCTACCCTTTGTTGTATCGCCACCTCCCTAACTGCCTCAGCAAGTATCGGAATCCTAGGCATCGACATATCAAGCGATGTCCAGTTTCGGGGTCACTAAGAGGGTAAGGTCAAATTGGCCTCGAAGCACCTCGGTGTGCTGAACAGATCGAGGCAGTATTTAACTCCGGCTCACTGCCTCCACCTACATAAGGCGCAAGTTCGGCTGTATATGGAATACCGCTGTCATCTCTATGCAGGGGCATCCTGGTACTAGCTTCTCCCTCTGGACTGTATCCAACGAAGAGCGACTCGAATCGTCGATAGTTAAAAGATCTCCGACCGGCTCGAACCTTTGGCGTTATGTTGAAATGTAGCTTCATTCTGCATTCTCTATCGTATATATCATGTAGAGTTGACCGACCGCAGCTTTCCGCCATCGTTCCACACGGCAAAATGATCATCCTCACCACTTGGATAAGTTATCGTCGGCGGTATTTCCGGGCCGATACGACCTTCAAACCTTCAAGAAAAGAGCGTGCTCCTTCCTAAAAGGCCGGCAACGCGCTTGTGACTCCTGAGTTGCAGGCGTTCATGGGCACCGGTAGTGTCGCTTTGCAACAAGTGACCCGTCTGCTCTTTGCCCCATCTTCCATAAAAAACATCAGTTTATCTTCTGAATGGTTTTCTAATAAAATTAAGGAACATAATAAATCCATTATAAAGAATAACCTGCACATGAGATGCTAAGCTATCTGTTTTAAAATAAGAGAAAATCTATGTTAGAGATGAGTTAGATAAGAATATATAAACTTGTTTACATAATCGTTTGTTTTTTAAAAGCTTGATATAAATAGATAAGGTGAAACACAAACCGAGATACTGTTATGTTATGTAAATACTTACCCTACCTACAAACGTATTAAGAAAACTCGCAAAAGGCTCCCAAACCATGGACAAACCATGCTCGCAGATGGTTCGGAAGCTTTCAGAACTCACTTTTCAGTTTTATAATACTATATAGATATCATCAACTATTGCTCATGATTTGATACCGTACAATAGACGCCTGAGAATATGCTTAATAACATAAAGGATTACCTCATAACATATCCTTTCTTTCCAGATCACCTCCCTCAACTCCCGTCTCATTTAACTTCGACGAGAGTCTAGTAGAGGATACGAGTGGAAAACTACAGCCAAACCAGTTGACGGTGGATAATCTCACAGTGGAATGGTTGAAAGAGAAATTGATTGAATTAGAGCAGACGCTACAGGACAATAGGGAGAAGCAAACCGCGTTACAGGGGCCCGAGATTATCGGCAATGGCGTTTGTAAGAATAACAACACTGGATTGACGAACGGTGTCAACGGTATTGATAGGTAAGTCACCGTTAACTATTTTACAATCTTTCTTATAGTATTTAGTATAGACTTAAGGTTTATATTAAAAATCTTTAAATAGTACTTAATACACACTAACGTCTAAGAATATGGACTGTCAGCACCTCTATTCATCCCGTGAGTAGATGTAAGAGCTGACTAAGGGAGCAAGCTACGCAGGAAAACAGCACTGCAAAGAGAAGGCAAACTTGATACAAACCCTAGACCAACCCGTCTGGCCAGCGTGGTATAGTAGGCCAAAACCTCCTTTAAAGGAGAGGCCTGAGTCCAGCAGTGGACTACTAAAGGCTCTTGATGATGATGAAACACTATTAAGTACGAAATAAACTTGACATAAACCATCAAGTTTTATAATATAATATAATATTCTAATATTCTACCACATACACACAACGCCATCTAGTCCCAAACTAAGCAGAGCTTGTACTATGGGTACTAGACAACTGATATAAATACATATATACTTTTTTTTTTTTTGTAAATACATACATATTATACATAGAAACACCCAGACCAAATCAAACATCAAATGTTCATGCACACAAATGTTTGACTTGAGCGGGAATCGAACCCGCGACCTTTGGAATAGCAGTCCGTTACACAAACCACTACGCTATCCAGTCGTCAGGTTATAAGATATATGTAGGAATCTATAGATGCTCCAGTCAGATCACTGGGTTATAAAAAACTTCTTATTGTAATGGTGAATTTTTTTAGTACCTTTATGTAACTACTACTAACTATACCGTGCAAAACCAAATTATACCCCTTTATCAATTGAGTATCTCCACGTCGGTTTAAAAGGGTTAGGTTAAATTAAGGCGCTGCTGATACTAACAGTTAGTACCATATAGTGCAAAGGCTCCTGTGCTTTGATTTGTGGGTTAATTAACAGAGATTTATAGCTTAATATACAGAGATCTCAGGGATAACCCTATATAGATTTTGATTATTGTATATATTATATTGCTTGTATAACTATGAGGACGGTAGGAGAGCAATGGATCCGGCTGGCACAAAACCGCCAGGAGAGGCGTGATAGAGAAGAGGCCTTTACCCAGCAAATAGATAACTGTATGTAATACGTTTACTTTAGAATAAGCTTGTTAAGCATTTATTTGCTTATTAAACATTTTTTTAAATACAGAATTAAGCTATGCCGTGGGAAAGTCATGAACATATGGGCTGGTTCAACCAAAGTGATACCGCAAATGATATCACAAATCAGACTAAAGTTGCAAGCTAAATAAACCGATGTACCTCTTTATCTGTGCAGGCATTCTCCGCCCCCGCTACCACTAACAACTTCAGAGCCTATCAAGCTGTTGGAACTACGTGTAGCGGAACGAAAATGTGCGAAACAAGCGGAGATGATCCGCTCCGCTCTTGCCGAGTTGGGCTGCGAAGAAGCGCCGAGCGGCTGTCCCGACCTGTCGGCTGAAACTGTTGGAGTAGACAGCCTAGACGGTAGCTCACCTGATCATCAGGTAATGGTATGCACGAATTTGTTCATTTTAATATTTATATACTCCATAAAGACTACTTTCGTATTTCTACTTAAAGGTATATATATGCTGACAATTCTGTCATGTATTAGTGTATTAGAGGCTATTGCTAACCAAAACTTCGATCATCAGGATCGTGGCTCAATCGGATCGAAAACGTCATCGGACGTTTTACGTTTGCACCTTCATTCAATAATACCTCCGCGGCCATTGTTCAAACTGTTTATACGGCCTTTTCGACGCAAATCGGCGCCCTCAAGCCCAGCACTACCACCCAAGACATTCCGGAGTAGCAGCGAAGGCCCTGCAGACTCGGTAACAGCTAACACTCACCGCATTCGTCGGTACAGAGTGCTGAAGCATCGCTTCCGTGACCGTGTAGACATCTATGTTCATTGCCGCGTTCACAACAAAACTCTTTTCAAGAAGAGACGACGCAGCCGCATTGTAGTCAATAGTTGTTCTAATAGTGTGGTGAGTGCCACTAACCGAACGATCCTTCACCCACGCATGGCATGTTATATGCATGCAAAAGTCATATCCTCCACTGGAATCACAACGATTTATTCGCCCCGAACCGAGCGTCAGTCAAATTGTGTCAGTGCTATATTTAGCTAAGACTTAGCGTCACTGTGCACCGCACGAACTTCCGTCGAGAATATGCTTTCGTATAAAATTAAAATAGCACAAACTCTCCTTAAAACTCAGTTTCAAAATCAAGGTGAAGCCGCTTGCGACGTTCCAGAAATGTATCGTTTTCGTGTAGTCTGTGTACGCATCAGTTGCGAGGTTTACGTCAAGTTCATCCTGTTGTCTCCCCGGCTCGCCGCGTGTACTGAGATTAAAGAGATAATTAAATAGTTATAGGCGTGTTTAGCGATGTCGTGAAGTAAAGATATTCAGTAATGGATCCGTGGTCGTTGTACATAACTAACAGTGAGCTACCACCGCCCGTAGTAGTGCCGCGTCGGAAGAAGCGTCTAAAGCAATTGCAGTTGCAACTTGAGCTAGAACTTGAAGAAGACAACGTATGTTACCGCTTCTTTTGTACGTCTGACTTTGCTGTGTGAGCCTCTGAATGCAATAAAAATTGTGTTTGCATGTGTATTGTTTTAATGTTTACGTTTCGATGTGTTTGAGTGTGTAACTAATAAAATATTAATTAGTAATCAAAAAATGAAAAAAAGTATGTAACAACACAAAATTATGATTCAATACCAGTTATTTTTATTAGTAAACATTAAGTTCTTAATTTATCATTTGGATTACGTTATCCTTGACTTTCTTTTAATAAGCACAGTGTTCTACATATTGCACGTGCACTGTTGCACATGGCTCCAGAAACGGCTCAATTGCCTAATAATAATTATATTTTATATATATTGGTACTATTTAGGTGAGCGTAAGTGAGACAGAGCGTTCGCTAGTAGAACAAGAATGGTTCCACGGAGTACTTCCTCGAGAGGAAGTAGTAAGGCTGCTCCGCGCAGATGGAGACTACCTGGTGAGAGAGACGACGAGAAATCACGCGAGACAGCTAGTACTGTCTGTATGTTGGGGACAGCATAAACACTTCATCGTACAGACGACTCCTGAGGTTTGTCTTTTTTGTATCTTATCGGTTTTTTACCTCCTTTCTAAGGAGAGGCCCGTGTCCAGCAATGGGCTAATAAAGGCGATGATTTTTTGAAAAATCACAACGATTTAACGTTACCTATTTAATAACAGAACATTACTTACAACTGTAACAATATTATATCAAGTAATACGTTTTTATCATCACAAAAATGTCCACGAACAATTTTTGGGCAAGTCATTTGTGCCTTAAATGTTTGCTGTTATTATCTATACTAATATTATAAAGCTGAAGAGTTTGTTTGTTTGTTTGTTTGTTTGTTTGTTTGAACGCGCTAATCTCAAGAACTACTGGTCCGATTTGAAAAATTCTTTCAGTGTTAGATAGCCCATTTATCGAGGAAGGCTATAGGCTATATATCATCACGCTAAGACCAATAGGAGCGGTGCACCAATGAAGAATGTTTCAAAAACGGAGAAAATTTATTACTATTGAGAGACGCAGACGAAGTTGCGCGGGTCAGCTAGTTTTAAATATGAGTTTCATTGGAAAATTAGTTCAATTTCTAACTAGCCAGTCATCTATACACATGTTTTTTTTACATACATAATTGTATATGATCTGAAATATATTAAAAAGATACCATTACAGTAATTTAAGAGCTGTTCGTGTTAGGAACATTAAAATGGTTTAGTATTGTTTATGAGTCATAAACTGTTGACATCTTGCATTCATTGAACTCGGTGAATCAATTAGTGAGTACATTCGAAGTCTTAAAATGTGACGGAATATATAAATTCTAAGAAATTGTTGTATTATTTCTTAATAAAATTAAAATTATCAAATTTTGGATGAGACACTACTTACCTTATTAATTGTACGTACTGCTGCCGTTGAACGAAATACTTCTACCTGAAATGTTTTATATAGAAAGTTGAAGTTGTGAATAATAGGTTTTTTAATAATGTCAATACTGGTATTTTAATTTTTTTACTGCTTACTACTTCCCCGGTATTGGTGACTTGAAAGTTTGCGAGAATACTTTCCGGAAAAGTTCACTAAACTGAATTCGCGAATATTTGTGTTCTAGCCTCCGATCTCTTTGTTTATTGCTTAAGAAAATATGTATAGTAAAGAAATCACTTACGTAAAACTTAAACGACTTCGGTTAGTATGTCTGCAGTTTGTAATTTTTCAATTTAATTATATTAAGATATTTCATTCACTCAGAATCAATGTACGTCTAGTGTCTAAAAATTAAGACCTTCCAAGTCAATCTTTCTTCAACTAGCCTCATATTTCAGGGTCACTACCGTTTTGAGGGTGCTGCATTTCCGTCAGTAGCTGAGCTGATCGCGTGGCAGCGCACAAGCGGAGTTCCAGTGACGGCTCGCTCGGGAGCGTTGTTGAGGCGCGCTGTGCCGCGGGAAAACTGGGAACTTAACAACGACGATGTACAGCTCCTTGATAAGATCGGACGAGTAAGTAGCTATGTGTTATTAGGACTAGGTACCGATTACTAAATATAATTAAACCATTCTGAAGTGCCTGTTACCCCAAATCGATTCTTAAGACTTGTTTACTAAATTGTGTCTAAATTAAATTACAAAGATTTAAAATGTCATAAAAATTATAGATACCGACCCATTACACCTTCATAATCTATACGCTTCAAAAACTCAAAGAGTTTTACACCGTTTGAGCTCAAATTTTGACACGATATACAACCCGGTTCAAAGATGGTTTTTATCTATTTTCTGCAACCAGAATGTCCCATAACGTAGCGTGGCGGGGTACAGCTATAGCAGTATGATATATAAAATATCGTAAATTATGTAACAATTGTTAATATTTCGTTGTAAGTATAAAAAAGACATTCCACATCGGTTCATAAATGATTGAGTTCTAAGCTCACAAATATAAATAAACCGAATGGAGAACCGCCTTTATTTGTAGTTGGTTAATAATAGTTTTAAATGAAGCTTCTTGCCTCTATCCAGGGTAACTTCGGCGACGTATATAAAGCTCGTCTTAAGAGCACGGCACAAGAAGTGGCAGTAAAGACCTGTCGGGTAGCTCTGCCCGACGAACAGAAGCGGACCTTCCTGCAAGAGGGGCGTATATTGAAACAGTACCAACACCCTAACATCGTGAGGCTGATTGGCATCGCTGTACAGAAGCAGCCCATCATGATCGTGATGGAACTTGTACCTGGTGAGTTAAATTGAATGTTTCTGTAATCTTCTATTTTTTATATATCTATTGCAACATGTTCAATCAATTCTGGATACTACTTATTTTTAATACTCAATCACTTACTATTCTGTGGTTTGTACGAATTACTTTTTTTAGTAACGCTTACTAACGTTTTTTCATCTAAATAAATAAAAACAATGTTTGTATGTCCTCTATGCATTCCGAAACCATTACATTGTTTCTGCGAGGGTTTCTGGCTTAAAAAATCTATATGTAAAGGATTTCTTTATACTTTATGTAGAATTGCAATGGTACCGGGTACAGCTAGTAAGTACATAATAAAAACCAATGTTTATTTGTTCGCATTTTGCTTACACCTTGTTAGGGATGAAAAGGGCATTGTTTTTATGACGGGGTAAATCTCTTCGGATCTCTGGCTCCTTGGGGGCTTGATCCAGGAGTATGTGGTGTTTCCACTAAAAAACCACCCCGGCCACCGGCCTCAGGCGCTCTGGTCCTCACTCAGGTACTCTGGTGAGAGAACAGCATAGAGTACACTTTACCACATAGTAATCGTCTGTTTCTTAGAACTTAGAAATATTTTTAACATAATTTTCGCTTTATAGAACACTAAATTAGCACTAATTAGCACCTCCTTTCTAAGGAGAGGCCTATGTCCAGCAGTGTACTAGTATAGGCTGTTGATGTTGATGAAATTAGCACTGAATGAGAACTATTTTAAGACAGAATGAGAATTCTTTGCACTCCTTAAAAAAAAGTACATACATGTAGGTATAGGGACTACAAAAAGCTTACATTTTTCAATAAATATATCTTACTAGCTTTTACCCGTGGCTCCACCCGCATGTGTGTCGGTTATCGCAGTAAAAGTAGCCTATGTTACTCGCTAATAATGTAGCTTTTCATTGGTGATAAGAAGAATTTTTAAAATCTATTAGGTGGTTTGCACGTGAAAGCGTAACAAACAAACAAACTTACTTTCACATTTATAATATAAGTATGGAAGTATGGATAATTATAATAGCTTAAAAAATTAAAAAGAGTCCAGCATATTGACATGCCACATAAAACAAAATATTAAAAACTTATCAAATAACAGTCGAAATTAGTCAACGAAGCGATCTTTACTAATTATTATAACAAGTGAGTTGATTTATTTAATTTAGAACAGACGATTTTTAAACCTCTACTGTTGCTCAACTTTCTAGTTCACTAATGCAATGTACAGTTGCGAAAGATAAGATAGCATTAAAACGTTGTGCAATTGATATGACCACCTGGTTTGGCAGAGCCTAGATCTAACTATAAATGTTTGGTTATTTGAAACGTTGCTGAAAATAGTAGCACAAACTCGATCGTGCTTTTATTCAATCGCTGTACAACGGTGATTGCAACGATAAGAAACAACCAACAAGCACTTATAAAATATGACTAAATATATTTTTCCTAAAATAACCTATAAAAAATATGGCCGGTCGCATTTTTGGTTCTTTTTAAATGGTATTTGAGGCAGTTGTAGAGAGGCAATTGAGAAGACAGGTCAAATGATGGTAAGTCGCTACCGCCGCCCATGACATCTGCTTCTCTAGAAACACAAGTTTGTAGCCGCATTCTAAGGCTCCCACTAAATTCACACCAATACTCCCCAGCGATGGACCAAGTATTTATTTATTGCAATATAATTTAATAAATAAATAAATAGTAATAATAATAAAAACAAGAGTTATAAGTGACTATGTACTGTTTTTAACTAAATCATGTGTCGCGGGGGACTTCACAAACATACATGAAACGCACACAAAGTACATCCAGACTCAGAACAACAATTTGTGGATCACACAAAGTGTTGTTCCATGTGGGGTTTGAACCCACAACACTCGGCGTAATAGGAAGCGGCGTGGCGATCGCTTAAACCACTACGCCATCCGTGCAGTCAGTAATCAAAAATATATACACAGCGCCATCTATTAAAACTGTAATTATTCACTCTGATTTTTTTTAGTTTCTTTGATATACGTAGAAAATACTGTAAAATTTGTTAAAAAATATACACACAAATTTAACCTCCTAAAAAACTTCCTTTAAAGATTTCCCCCCCCCTAAATTTGGGGAGAAAACCCCCCGAGTTGGCATCACTGGGGTAAAAAGCAAGGAAAAAATAGCTTAATACTGGTATTTTGTGGAGCTGTGGTACGATCGAGCTTTTCCATAAAAGTTCTTTGATGAATCAGTTTTCTGATAAAACCTAATTTATCACAGAATACCTCTTTTATTTTTAATTCATTAAAGAACCATTCATCAATATTTTCAGCAGTTCTTGCATATAAAAGATATATTAGTTTGGTGTATGTATCATTTGTGCATGTGGCAGTTACAGTAGACGATTGCAAACTAATAATAATATAATAATAATTTATTGACAATAAAAATAAGCTTACATTAATTTCAGAATTCTCTGGCTCCTACACTAGTAGATACTGTGTTGCAGGAGCCAGTGTCCTCCCCAATTTACATAGACAGTCAAAATTTTGGTATAATAAATTAAAAAAAAAGACAGAAAGGAAAAACAAAATCAAAATTTAAAATAATAATCAATTCATGCGCTGTGTGTGTGCGTGTGCGTGTGTGTGTGTGTGTGTGACTAACTATTTTGGTAGGTACAATCGAGCGTAAGGAATTTAGATTTTTAAAGCTGTTCTTTATCAAAATCGTGTTTCTTTGTACTAATTTTAGTTGTGTTGACGGTTTTATTTTTACTTGACCTATTTCTTTACATTCAAGCACTGGTCTAAACTAATTCAAAGTTTAAAGGATGATCTTGAAAACGATTCTATGCCAACATGGGACTATTATGTATGTATCTAGAACATTTGTTTTTGAATAGTCACAAACAATTGTTCTAAGCTAAGCCTCAGTTTGCTTATAGAAATTTTCTGGTGAATAGAAAGAGCTGGTGATATTAATGTTAATCTATAAGAGATGTGTGGTGGAATTTTGACTAACATTTCTATTAAGTTTAAAAATGTTTTCTATTTAATTTTATTGAACAGTTAAAGTTAATCTGTCGTTGAATAGACATTACGAACTGTGACAGGAGAACATATTGTGTCTATTTAGTGGACGATTGATTATTATTGTAAATGAGAATTTTTATTACATAAAATTTAAATTGTTTAAAAAGTTTAGCTAGTTAGTAAAAGCTATTTCAATTATATATTCCTTGGTTCTCAAAATTGGCTTTATAAACAGGCATAAAAGAATTATCTTGACTTATTAATAGACAAATATCTATTACAGTGGAGCTTATCAGAAACCAAATCTCAATAATGTTTATTAAAGTGTTGTACATTATTGAGATTTGGTTCACGCTTATAAGTTCATCGGTGTTACGTGATGTGTCTGCATATGTTTATAATAAGAGTCAGACTGAGTGGGAGTCCGTCGTACCACACAAGTGGATGGTGTGGTGAGGAATAGTTTTAAAATACCTTGTTTTTGCATTTTGAATAGCTCACAGTATTTAAACTTTCGTAAAATGTGTGAATAAAATTAAATTCATTTAGAGTATGAAATGTTTCTATTAGTTTCTTAGTCATAACTATATTTATTTATCGATTCTATAACTATCATTGGTTCTGAGGACATAAACAGTGTTCGACGCGTCACGTGAACTCATGTATATTATTATAATAATATGGGTAATAAAATAAATGTATGTATATTACCTATTTTATGAAGGTATAGAAATATTAAAAATATGTAGGAGAGGAAATACATATTTAAAGGATTAACATATTTAACCTTATGTATATCCTATTATCTTATGGTGCCATAGTTACATTATCTAGTAGTAGTATATTGATTAATTTCTTGATCTAAAAATTCACCTTTCGATCCTGTCTCTGATCTGAGAAAATAAAAAATTGCATTGTTTTGTCTTTCCTACTAGTGCTTACTTTGATTTGTCACTCAGTGTTGCCAATTTACTATTAAAAATAAAATTATTAATTTATTGTGTGTTATTTAACGGAAGATCACTCACTACAGTGCTTAAGAAAACTCAACGGGATTTATGCCATCAATGCGTTAAGGATTACTCGATAAATACTTATGCACGCAAACGCTGCAAAACATATCTCATTTTGAATCATTATATTCATTCATTATCATGAATAAACATAATTAGGACGTCATGTAAGCTTCGATGATTGAATTAACTAATAGAAATCATTATTTGCAGGTGGTTCCCTTTTAACATTCCTTCGAACTCGAGCATCGACTCTCAGCTCCCGATCTCTATTAGCTATGTGTCGAGATGCAGCCGGCGGAATGAGGTATCTTGAGTCCAAGAACTGTATCCATCGGGACTTAGCAGCTCGGAACTGTCTCGTAGGTGACGACAACAGCGTCAAGATATCTGACTTTGGAATGTCGAGAGAGGAAGAAGAGTACATCGTGTCGGGAGGCATGAAACAGATTCCTATTAAGTGGACAGCGCCAGAAGCTCTTAATTTTGGTAAGTTCATTATGTATTATTGCGATCTGCCTCGGCAGACCGCCGTGTTAAGGTCTCGGCTTCGATTCCCGGGTCGGACCAAATTTTAATAATATTTGTTTCGGAGTTTGGATGCTTTCTATGTATAACTTAGGTTTAATCATTATTATTCTATTAAATGTTGTGGTTGTTGTAATAATTACTTCATTTGTTGATTGTTTTGTTTTACTACATTGGTACAATAGACTTTGATAGAAACATAATGAGACTTTGATACGTCCACTAGTAATAAAATATTTCTATTAACGTCAAAAATTGGTAAACGATGATATTCCAGCGAAATACAAGTTAATTGTCACAAATTACAGGTAAATATACGTCGTTATGCGACGTGTGGAGCTATGGTGTATTGATGTGGGAGATATTCTCGAAAGGTGACACGCCTTACGCGGGCATGAGCAACTCGCGTGCAAGAGAGAAAATTGATACAGGTAAACTTTGCAGCAAAACTTGCATATAAATTCGCTAAATAGTTTTCCTACATTACCACACAGATACGACAGTAGGCTGATTAAGTAGATCTAAATAAATGAATAAAAAAAACATTTTAATTAAATACATCCTCGCGACGGGGTATAACCCTGCCGAAGAACGGTTTCCACGCATCTTGTAGGTATGTTAATAGTATTCTTCAATAATAGTCTTAATGGATTCTGATAGTTCAGATTCGTCCTGGCATTCCAAATGCCCATCCAATCGTGGATGTATGGTTTAAACATTCGTAGTTTTTGGGCGCCACTTTGTAGGGTGGAATTATTTTCCTCCCAAACCAACAGGACCAATTATTTAATATTGGCTTCCACACGACACCAAAGTGACCAAATAACATATTCTTTCTAGGTTACAGAATGCCAGCACCAGAAGGCTGTTCCGAGGACGTGTATGCATTGATGCTGCGATGCTGGGAGTACGAGCCGGAGAAACGACCGCATTTCCACCAGATATACACTATAATTGACAACATATACAATAGGTAACATTTGGTGAAGAAATCTGACCAAATCACGTACGTTGGAAAATAACGGTTACATTACTTGATTTAAATGTAATTTGTTATTACCTCCAATAATAATTTCACTTTGGGTTTGTTTCAAATAATCTACCTGCAGATATTTTCAATAATGTATTTGTCCTGAAATAAATTAGTCATATATTACAAGAGATACCGCTCCTGGAATTTGCGCCATAATATCAAATACTCAAATGAACACACTACATCCTGATTAATTAGCTAACTTCTCAAATAATTTACGTCATATAATCTTTTAAAATATATACTTCTTAAATAAATAAGACACTGTCCCCGATTGGCATAGATAATATTGCTTTATAAAGAATAGTAAAGAAATAGAGGTGATAAAATGAAATACCAGGCTTTTTTTAATACGTTCATTGTGAGATATGACCAACAAATTAGAAGTACGGAAACGTATTTACCAATAAGTATTCGGAAATAAATTGTATACAATAATACTGAACCATTGATACCATTTTTTCATCGCATAAATACCTAGCATATAAATCAGGGTTATACATTTCATTCAATTTGTATCTTATGTAATATACTTAGTGCTAAGTTGGTGAATACGTGTTTTCCATTAGATACGCAAAAGCTAACTGAAATTGTATCAAATAAGTATTTCATAGGTTTACTCTGTATTAATTGTAACATTATTATAACAAAAATATGGGAATATGGAAGTAGAGATATCCAGAAGGGATGAAAGGGAGCAAATGGAAGGGGAATAAAATTAAACCAATAAAGGTAGTCTTTAAGTAGTGCAACCGCATTTAACCGGTTACTTACATAATGCTGATAAACGGTAGTGATTATTGCCTCGTCTGCGACTACAGTCCCAATTGAGAGCAATTTCTGGATACACTCATTTATTAATTTAACATGACATCCAAAGCTCGTAACTAAGCTGCTGTTCACTGCGTAAAACATTAGACATGTGTGTGTGTACGTACGTGCTTACTTTGTACACACGTACGTACTTGTGTATGTGTGCACATTACCCAAAGCACTACGAATTGCGTACATATACCTTTCTCATACATCTGTCAGATGTTTATACTGAACTTATGAAAATGGTATTTTGGTAACAAGCAATCCCATCTCCATCATATGTCTTAGTGAGTGTTATACTTACGTATTTACCCGATATCTTAAATATATGCGTGTGTTCCCCAATTTATATCCTATCATCCCTTCTGGTATACTTATAAAAGCGATTGTATTAGGCATGAGACTTGTTATAAGTATTATGCCTTAATAACGAAGCGTTGATCTCTTTCGAATGGTATGATATTGTTAATATAAGTACAATGTATCAGTTTTGACTGAATTTGTACGTAATTTTGGTTAAAGTACAATCTATATCATTAATAGTGTGACAAGAAAAATAAGAATGATAAAAAATTATACACTTCAGTAACTCGTAAATCATCGTAAACGAATCTAAACAGGCTATTTTTACCGGCTCGTCTCATGATCGTAGACGAGCCGGTAAAAATCGCCTTTTTATATTCGAATTTTATCACTAGTTTCTCTGTCACTAGTTACTGAAGTGACCGAGGTTATTGATGGCTCGCCTCCTACTGATCAGATGCAAGTCAATAGTGGTATCGGACCATTAAATATACTTATCGTAATAATATGCTTGTGAACCACAATAGAATATCGAAAGTCTGCATTTGAAATGAGCTGACTTGTACTGATTTTTCTCGTTGAGACTATTTAATGATACTTGTTTAAGTAATATGTGTTAAAAATGCTACACGGTTTATGAATTTATTAGGTATGTGGTGCTGTGTAGGGTTATATTTGATAATGTGTTTATCGCTCTGTGCTATTTAGTTAGTAGTGCGGTATTCATGCTCTTTGCGGCATCGATCTAATAATGTATTTTATTTCTAACGTAACGTAACGTAAAAATAATAAAATGACTGTTATTATATATCTTATGAGTATATTATTATAATATTTTTTACAGAATTTTGCAATGTTTAACTATTGGAAATGACTTTCCAGGTGTAAAATGTATTGTGCTTCCATATGCCAATTTTACATAAGAAATTATTTAGTCGTTTAATGAGAATAATTATAGTTAATTGTGGCAATATAATGGACATGTTTGTGATACGTTTGATGCTTCCACGAAATGTAATGTAGCCTATTAAGTAATTATATTTCTTGCCTAGTATATTGCATGTTATCTTTTATCGATATTATAACACAAAGTGAGATATTAATGTATAGATATAATCTAGAATCGTAGCTATGTCAAACTGTGTAAATATATATCGTACACATTAAAGTGCCAGACATTTTTGAATTCAATAATTTTGAGTTTTTTTTTTGGCACCCCAACTCTAAATATCTTGCTTAATCAAAGGGTGTAGGCCATGGCATGGGGTTCTTTAATCTTGTAAAGGTAAATTACAGCGCAAATCAACGAAGCGGAACGACACGGAGGGTTAGTCAGTCAGTTGTCCTATGTATTCCTACAGCAGGAAGTGAAGTGTATTTGAACTTTATTATATTTTCCCGTTTTAAAATTACCAATTCTCGATGGCGCAGTGTCAGTAATCGCGTAAACTGTTACTGTTTAAATTTTTTTTAGAAAGTGAGAAAATCGCGATGAAGGACTATTTTCCTAACGAAAGAAAATTTATTGACACAAAATGTATTTCGAATTCGAGATTTATTTGAAGAGGTGATATTTCATTTATATTACGCAAGAGAAGTCGCGCAACAAATTGTCATTTATTTGTAGTATCTGTCGAGACTATATTGTACTCCGACACTAAATATTTGGTACCTTATATACATATAACATCTTTATTATAATACTTTTCATCGAATTTTGCAATGAATAACTATTGGAAATGATTTTCCAGGTGTAAAATGTATTGTGCTTCCATATGCCAACTTTATAGATAAGATATTAATTATATCGATCCGTCTGGTCAGCGTGGTATAGCAGGAGTTGGGGAGAAGAGAGTATCTTTCTAAGGAGAGGCCTATGTCCAGTAGTGGACCATTGAAGGCTGTTGATGATTATAACATCTTTTGCTGTACTTACAATTTCATAATAATAAGCTAAGTAGTTTAAATATGAGCGTAAAAAAGAAACTCACTTTCGCATTTCTCATTATTTTTTATTAATATTTACAAATACAATTTTATAAGCTCATCACTTACAGCAGAAGGAGTTAGTATACCTAGATCAGTGAACAACAAAGTTATATACGCAGGTGGAGTGTAATCTACTAATGGATGCTGTTTAGATAAATCTTTGCCAGATTTCAGCACGCTAGATAGATATTTGAATTCGTTGGGTAAGTCTTTTTGATTTAAGGGGTATATTCTGGAGAACTTGAAACTTTCTGTTAAAACGTAGACGGGTTTCTTCAATTCTAAGGCTGCCATTCCTATTGTATATGTGCCGATCTGAAAAAAAAAAAAATAGATACTATTATTCGGCTGAATCTAACTGCTGTTAAAACAAACGCACACAAAAAATATACAAGAATTTATGGATCTAGAATCTAAATATTTTAATTTTAGGCAAATTAAACAGAATAAATCTAATAAATCTAAATATTTTAATTTTAGGAAAATTAAACAATAAATTTATTGATGAATAAAAAAAAAATATCTGTAAAGTTTTACTACAAAAGCAACACTTAAAAAGCGACGATCGGCTACCCAAGACATCATAAGTATTTATATTATTGCCATAAAAATTTGAATATTAAATTGATTCTATTTTAAAATAAATTACACAGATTAGATTTTTTATCTATTAAATTTTATAATTTGGTAAATCACTTTTCACTAAAAGCTAAAGCTATGTTCAAAATACTATATCTAATACCTGACTTACACTTATAACAGTACAAGCGTTTACCTTTTAATACCAATAATAGCAACTCATATTTTTATCCTAAACGAAAAACCCATGTCCATATTGAATCCTATGCTCTATGACTTGGAGGCTAATAATAGGTATATGAGGTAATATGAGCTCCTACGAGGAAATACCGCTTTGCAAACAACAGAAAACATTAACGATGTATATAGGCCTAACACTGCTTGCATACACACGGTCTATTCTTGGTTCAATCGTTTTAGATCTGGAAATTTTGATTTGCCGAACGAGCCTCGTGGTCTGCCGATAACTTTTTTATTTTTATTTAAAAGGCAATACCTGCAGGATGTGTATATTCTGTGTCGCGGGGAACTTTACAAACATGCATGAAACGGACGCGAAAAAGACCCAGACTCAGAACAACAATTCGTGGATCACACAATGTATTGTCCCATGTAGGGTTCGAACAAACAACACTCATCGCTGTAGGAAGCGGCGAGGTGACCTTTAACCACTACGCCATCCGTGCAGTCAAACTTTAGTCGAGAATGATGATTTGAAGGCGATAGTGAAAGCGGATCCAACATAATCTACGGCTGAGCTTGCTGCAGTTAATCTCAAATTAACATTGAAGCACTTACGTCAAATCGGAAAGATAACAGCTAAATAAGTGGGTGCCACACAAACTAAGCGTTCATCAGCGAGACTTGTTTTGCGAATTATTCATATATCGCACCTTTATTCATAAACTGAATTAACTTAGAATTTCAATATTGTGGGAAATCGCATTTAAAGTTTGACATTCATGTACGTGCGAGTTCGTCAAAAAGAGAACGACGATCTCTTATCTCTGCCATTTTCATGGGATCGAGTCGGCTGTTGGATTGTTCGTGTTCTACTGATGAAGTTGATTTGGTATTTGTTGAAAACTCGAAAAACGTAAATTTTGAATTAATTCAGTTTATTATTAAAGGTGCGATATATTATCATCATATCAACAGCCTATAACAGTCCACTGCTGGACATAGGCCTCTCCTTAAAAAGGAGGTTTTGGCCTACTATACTACGTTGGCCAGATGGGTTGGTATAGGGTTTGTTTCAAGTTTTCCACTAAGTACAAAACGCTTTCACTGACTTCATCGCCTCCCGTCCAGAAGACTTCTACAGTAAACGGCTAAACAAACTGCCATCAAAATGGCAAAATGGTATAGATAATTTGATTGGCTATATTAAAAAATAACCAAATTTTTTTAATTTTCATACAAATCTCTAACTACATACGTAAAGACCTAATATAAATACTCAAAGCCTTAAAAACTAATGGGCTCATGGGCTGTTTTTACCTTGTTAATGATGCCTCCACTTTCCGTAACTCCTTCAGCTCCGACCATTACGATATCAACTTGTTCCATGATATAACCCACTGAAGAGTCTAGTATTAACGTAGCGTCGATACCAGCCGCCACTAATTGTTTGTGCATTAGCTCACTGCAGACAAACAGAATTATTAACATTACATGCATTATTAGCTGTCATATTGTTGGGAATTGCTCCATAAGACCCTGGCCTTGACCTTATTTTAGTGGTATAGAAACAAAAATTAGAATTAATCAGTTTGTATTATTAAAAAAACTTGCTGATATTTGCTAACTATTTTAAGTTTGAACTGTGTTACGTTTAAAAATACAAATTAATACACTATCATTTTGATTTCCTTATATACTCGTAGCAGACATTATTCGCTGCATAAAAACATGCATTTTTTACCGGTTTCTTTAGAAAATAAGCGTTTTAGATAACGATGCCTAAATAAAAATATTAGAATAATTCAATATCTTGTCATTTACATCGACCAGTAAAGTTATATTTTGGAGATATTCGAAGTATCTGAACTGCCTACTACAGGCAAGGACAGGCTTCAAATGTTATTAAAACCTTGCTTACTTTTTTAATTTACTTTGCTTATTTTAGAAAATTTTGCTTATATCTCCAGATCTTGTAATATATAATATCAGAATCTTACATGTAAAACCAAAAATATAATGCCAATTGAGATACTTAATATTTTACTATAACCAGAAGCTGTGTTAGATAAGGAGTGATATAATAAGTACATAAAATATTAATTACCAAGTGAAATTATATAAAAACTATATTTAAATACTATTTAATATCATAAATATACCTTTAATTCACGATTTTAGTATTTAATAATTTCGTCACTAGACATGAAAATATTTGCTACTTTCAAATCATATTCATTTGATGAAGTGATTGGCTTTGGTCACAGCGATTTCACATCTGATTGTGATTTCGTCATATACAAAGGTAAATGGCATCGAAATCAATCAAAAATATTTTTATCAAAATTAAGACCTTTTTTAAAATTCAGACTTTTGCGAGTCTTGCGCTAGCGTAATAACAGTAATTAAGTAGCAGTGGTTTTGTAAATCAGTCACATGTGTGATGATATGAACTATAATATCATATGATTTATCACATGTGTTTGTGATTTATTCCATCCCTAATGGACACTGCAACTTACTTAAGAGCCACCAGTGCATTGCCGCCCTTTCAGTCCCTCTCCCAGAATCAGGAGTTGCTCACTTCAGACGAGTAAAAGAAAATGTTATTTATACGCAATACGAGGTATATGTTAGTTCAAATTGCCAAGATTATCTGATACAGTTCAGCGTAACAGACGAGACAATAAACGACTTAGTATGCACCGCGCCAAAACTGCTCAGGCGTGTAAACTGGATGGCACCAAAATATATAATAAATTAACAAAACAGTTTAAATCACTCAATTATAATTTGTTTAGAAGCAGAGTTAAGGAAATGCTGATTAAGAAATGCTATTATAATATTAACGACTACTTACTTAAACCATAGCTCTTAATTAATTAATTTTACAATGATTTATCTTTAGTTATAACTATTTTTCTTGACATACAGTTTATAATTTTGTCATTTTTAATTTTTCATTTTATTTTAACATTCCTATAATAAACATACCTAGCTCATATAATTATATTGTTGTCTTAATGATTTTTGTATTATTCATGAAACTAATTTAATTCCTATTGTGAAAATATATTTTAAATCAATTTATATTTGTATGCCGTCCATGGCAAAACATGTTGATACAAAATAACTAACCTATTGAACTGTTTAGGATTTATTTTCATGACACATGTCTGAAGCAAATAAATATTTATTATTATTAATAAACCACACCTCTAAATCGTCTCGCATATTGACCATTTTTTTTGGTGCTGGGATAAATTATTTGCTTCAAACTATGTAAATTCTTATTGGATAACTGTTTAGAAAACGCATACGATTTATTTTTTGTTAATGTTAATTCTATAAATGCTATTGACTTAAAGAGACTTGGTCCATCAATTGAGCGCCTACCTACTAAGGTGGTTGCGAAACCGGCGTAATGACCATACCTACCTAAATATATTTTCTACAATACAGATACAATACACTACAATTTAGAAACAATGTCGAGTGTCTACCTTATTACCGTGGTTTTAGGTGGAAGGTATAAGCAGATAAATGGCTAAAAATACACTAGATTTTAGTACACAATCAAAATGATAGTTTGAGTTTCAGTTTCGGCTGAAAACCCTGTTTCGATCTGACACTAATTTCTTGTAGATCCATTTACAGTTTAAAACTTCCTTTTAAATGTTTTATAATATTAAGAAATTTATGTTTTTTTTTTAATAAATAGATTGATAATGTTGATAAAAAAATAAAGAATAATTTAATTTACATCATTTTTGGTGACATGCAATTATGCACTGCTTGGAAATAATCTAAATTTTTGCTTACCCGCTGTTGTCAGGACAGGACATGGTGACATAAACTTTAAACCTTTTGTTTGTTTTTGCTGCTTCTGACATGGCTTGTAGTACAACTCTAGATAAAGAGTGAGTTAATATTTTCTGGAAGCAAATGAATAATACTTAAGTTATTTAATATTCAGTAATAATAAGTAGATAAACTCAATTTGTATTAAGAAACCATAAGTTTTTAATTAAAATATTGGTCATTCTTATAACAAGTTAGTGCAAGTAACACAACTAATACAGTATCTTGAAAGTTATAAATCATAACTTGTGTCAATTAACAGGGGTCGATTTTTAAACTTCGTCAACCTCCAAAATCAGTTTTCGTTTATATCTACCCCTGGGAAACCAATTTGTGGCCTGTGGCCTTGGGGGATTTTACAAACATACATGAAACAGATACAGAGAACCCAGACTCAGAAGAGCAATTTGTGGATCATACAAAGTGTTGTGCCATGTGGGGATCGAACCCACAACACTCAGTGCAGCAGGAAGTGGCCATCCATGCAGTCTTATACCAGTGAAACAAATGATTATTTTTTATTTGAGATCATAAGTTTCAGATCTTTACATAATTGAATATTGCATACACTGGCAATTTACTGCAGTTTATGGTTATGGCAATGCTCCTAAGAGTTATAGTCTGTTGAAGTATAAGTCAAAGTTTCAAAACATTTTTTTACTAACTTTGAAGCTAGTGTTCCATAATATATAATTATTATCACAGTAATGAAAACACACAGCCAGCTTCATCAGTGAAGTTGGTCAATAAGGCAATTTAATAACATCACACTCATGTTATTAAATTGCCTTATTGACCAACTAGCTAGTATATTAGTTTCCATTAACTCTATTATTGATTTTTTTTTACACTAGCTTGCGCTTTTTTTTCTTAAATAAATTTTGCTCAAAAAGTTATTATTCTTTACATCAAATGCAAAGAGAGAATAAAAATAACAATTATGGTTTGAATATACTTACACATCCATCTCTAATAAATGCCATTGCTTGTTTGGCAACCTTGCCTCTAGCTTCTAAAAGTTCATTCAAGAATATATGACCTCGCTGAAGCATTATCTGTTCACATTCTTCAAATGACTGCAACATTAAATAAATATGTGATACAATATTATCTAACATAAAAGGATAAAGTTTCATTACATTATAAGAAAGTTGTGGAGTACTTATGAGTACTATGTATAAATGATATACTACTTATATGATAACGATAATCTGAAAGTAATAATAATAATTTATTATTATTATTACTTTCAGATTAGGTTGAAAACTTGTACCTGGCCTATTCATATTGCTTTCAATTACATTTAGTATTTTGGGGTATATAGTATTTGGTGCAAGGGGTCTATGGACCCCGGTCGGAAAGAAGTTCCTTTCGCTCCCATCCACTCAGAGCATGTAATGCACGATAAGGAACTCTATTCCAAAAATAAATAAAATTGTCTTGTTAATAAGGTGATGCATCCAATATAAAGCAGCCAAATATGAATGTATGTAATTATTACTCCATACAAGTAAAAAGTTTATTGGCAGTACTTACCTTTACATCAAGTTTAGCAAATGTAATAAATCTCATAAAGAGTTCACACCCTGATGATATGGCAGTAACAGGTTGGTCACAGTGCTTCATAGCCTCTACAGCCAACTGCAGGTTCAGATCCAGCTCTCTAACTGTTGTCACTGGTAATATAAATATTAACATATACCTAAATACACCTAAATATGGGTAACTTTACATGAACTACCCAAAAATTCACACCTTTACAGTGGCCACTAACTTATATGACAGGACTTTGTTTGTTAGAACTGATATCTAATCCAAAATAAGTAGACTAATAGGGTCCTAAAACAGGCTGACAAATTGGCATTCTTTAATATCATGATTTGTATAAGTAAGAAACTGCTAATTATTTTAAAGAAAAATACCTTTATAGTTTTCAATCACAAGTAGTAGTGTCCTAATAGCAGCAACGCCAGCCGATACATCTTCTTCCTCTTTCATAATTTTTAAAAATATTTCTTGAACTTCTGTTGAGGCAAAAAGGCACATATTGAGTAATTTATTTCATCGATAACTAATTCTCTACTTTGTTACTGTTTTATAATAATTGTTGTAAATTACAAACCTTCTTTCTTCATTTTCTTATTTATTGAAAGCTTATAAGTTAGTTTTAAATATGATAATTTTTGTTTACGTATCAAATAAATATTAAAAACCTCTTAAAGTCTTACGCACTCAATATAACCTAAAATTCAAATGTCAGTAATGTCATACACAATACACAAACCTAACACAAACGCAAAACCATTTTTATTTCTGCCCAACTGGAACGCAACTACCCGTGAATTTGTTTAATTAGTTCCAACTTCTAGGCAGATTTTTAAACTATTAGTAGGCGTATTTGCAATACAAATTGTTCACATTTTATTGGTCATTTCAATTTTAATCTTAAGATTTATGTTCACATTACTTATTTTTTCCACAAAACTGTATATCATCATAACAGCATATGAAACAAATAAAATATAAGACGTTTGATTGTTATTTAGCTACAAGATATGAGTCTATCTGAAATAATTATAACAGTCAGACATCAGACATACACTATTATCTTAACTAAGAAATACGATGAACTATGTAAGAAACTAAATTATAACAATTTGTGTAAATACTTATCAACGATTTACATCGAACAAGAAAATAAAACTAATTAATTAAGTCTCTGAGTTTACATCTACCGTGGATCCAAAACTTAGAAACTTAGATTACGCGTTTGTAGATTACTACTTAGAAGACAATATTGCTCAGGATTAATTTAGCACAGGCTATTTCTTAAGTGGAAATGTAATGTGGGCTAGTGTGTTTTTATTTCTTTTTTCCATTTTTATGTTTTACTTCACTTTTATTTCTATTCCATCTTTTTTCCAACTGAACTACTGGCAAACATCAAAACAATTTTGTAGTTTATTTAAATATGCGACTGTATCTATGTATCTAATAATTAAAAAAGAGTGGCCGTGAGTTTGTTTTCCCTTTCTTCTCACAAAGCTCAACCTCTTGAAAACGGGCGGTTGCACTTAAATCGGCACAGGCATTATTAATTTATTTTGCTAAATATTTAACAAAACAGATTATTGATTGTGTGTGTTGATCTATTAGTCTACATAAGAGACGGTTTTAAATATTTATTTAAATGAAATAAAGATATTTTGACTTTGGCTTTGATTAACCACATCATCAACTCAACTCGAATTGAATTGGCCAGAGTAAACGTGCGAGATATTGGTAAACACTGACCCATATTAGTTAAGCTATGAGACACAAGAAATGTTTCCCTGTACAGTAAGCGTTTGTGCCCGCTTGTTCGTTTAACAGTTAAAGTAAATCAATAAAGCTATTTATTAGTTTAAAAGCAAACAAGTTTTTTAGTCTTGTTAGTTTGGTGGATGGGTGCTAAGGGTTCACACACATCACATCAACAGCTTTTAACAGTCCACTGCTGGACGTAGGCCTCTCCTTATATAAGAGTTTCTGGCCTACTATACCACGCTGGCCAGACGGGTTGGTATAGGGTTTGTGTCAAGTTTTCCTTCTCTTTGCAGTTCTATTGCCCTGCGTAGTTTGCTCCCTTAGTCGTCTCTTACCACATACACAGGATAAATAGGGGTGGTGACACTCCGAATTCTTAATCAGTCACCACACGCACAAGGATTGTTTCCTGACAGTAAAAGCAAAAAAATGAGAGGCCCTTTTCATAAATTAGACAACAAAGCTTTTAATTTAACTTACTGTCCTGGATCTTGGATGGTATTATTGATACCAGATGGTATTATATACCAGATACCTGGACATGGTATTAAGGTGAAAATGTCTTTTTCCTTTTACTGAATTAAAAAAAATAACATTTTTTTATTAATTTTTTTCATATTTACCAATTATATTTGGATTTTCTTTATAATTAACTTAAGAGTATTGATGTCTGAATCATTATGTATACATAGGTGAGCATATTTTTAAATCATCAGCAAATAGTTTTTATTTTTTTACCTAAATTATTTATAAATACTAAAAAATAAGGATCCCAAATATGATACCTGAGGTATACCTGAAGGAAAATAATAATAATAATATGTATGTAGGTATTCACAAATATATAAGTATGTTTATCAACAGTTATAGTATAGGCTCTGCCTAGTTTGGGATCAGACGGCCGTGTGTGAGATGTGTGAAATTATTATTAATAACTTTCTACTGAATTTTATAATAAAATAAATAGATTTTTTAAAGGTAACTGACCGAATAGACAACGAAATTTGATACACTTAACATTTTCATTAATCACAAAATACTTTTTAACTCATCCCACCGTGGTTACAGGAAATCCCTGGTACCCCGACGTTCTAGAAGTTTTACCTTACAAGATTTACTTAATTTTAAACGAAAAACAGCTTCATTTGTAGTTATTATTGGTTTGAATATGTATGTTTTTATTACTTTCTTCTTTCAACTAGTTATGAGGTGGAGTTAATTAAAATTATATGTAATGAGCAGCATTAATTATGAAATAGTCTTCGAAATTATCCTTAGTAATAAGTAATTAAAGAATTATCATAGTAATTGCGGGTTAAGAATAAATCATGATCGTAAATGCTACTTTAAAAGTCAACATTTGTTAATAGCGCCATCTTTTATCCAATAGGTATAACCAAAATTAACGACTACAGAAAGTGATTGTTTGTCCTGTTTTTCCAGGAATTCTTATTTTCTTGAGACTATTAAAGGAAATAACGCAACAGGTAGACAACTAACTTACCTACACTTAGCTAGTGAAAGTCACGGCCATCACCGCTCTGCGATGCCGTTCAAAGTGTTTCTGTTGGTGGTGTAGACTGGTCGCGTAGTGTCTGACATTTTTGTTTACTAATACCAGTGTTCGGTGTCATTCCGTACTGTTGCTACGACGGATATGGGAAATTCCGCATCTGTTAAGTTGAACGACAAGAGGCGGTGGCAGTAAGTGTTTTGTTTGTAGAACAAGTTTTTTCAACGGTTACTCAAATAAACATGAAAAGGCTTAGATTATCCATAAATTCAAAAGATTAATTACTACGAGTAACCATAATTGACCGCTTTCGACAGATTACTTTAAAAAAATACGAATTTTGTATTTATCTGATTATTTTTTTGTAATCATGGAATAGGTTTATTTCTCTTCAGTCATTCTCTATTTTGAGACTAATGTTGTGTATTTTTAATTTACGATTTAATTGTTCATGCGCCTTCACCATAGCTCGCTGCAATTCGATTAAACCATCTAACAATGTAAATAAAAGTTATGTAAATTATAGATAATGGCTACTGTGTTAAACTGACGGTATATAGTCATATATACTGTCAATTAAACATGGTATAGTATATATACTAACTAAAAACGAATAAGACACCATTGATGTAAGTACAATTTAGGTACGTATTAAGATTTATCTCCCTCATGGCCAACGAATTCCAAGAATAACACCCATTAAGAGTAAGAAAATATTATGTGAAAACATTGGTCTTCTTTATGTGCGGGTATGTGGGAAACCTAATGCGGCATCGTATATGTAACGTATTATCTATGCTTAGCTCACCATTTATTTGTTCAGCTCAGCATATAGGTGTTAACAGCAAGCACAAATTCTTAATCCGTGTGGTGATAAGAATACGGAATTAAGAATACGGACATTCCTCACGCCACCCCTGTTCATCCAGTGGGTGTCGTAACAGTCGACTTAGGGAGCAAACTACGCGTAACAAACAATCCATCAGGGGGGCGTAGTATAGTACGCCAATATCATGTATCCAGAAGACAAGCTGTTCAAAGAATTAATGTAGAGTTGGATTAGAACTAAAAAAAAAATCAGATAGAGAGACGAGCCGTTCTAAAATTGGTTCGTATCTACCTACCTAATGAATGAGCGGAAAGTGTATGCTTGTTAAAATAAAAAAGGATCGTCTTGATCTTTATATTAAAAAGAATATACAAACTAACTCAACCAATCGTGGAGCCTTTTTTTAATTCAACAATTATGTATATTCCAACATTTTCCAGTAAAGAAAAAATCGAATTGTTAGTTAAGTGTATGTAAGTATCAAGTACTTGAACCTAAGTAAGAAAAGAATTAGACCGGAACAATTCCCTTGGCCGCATAAGACAATAAAGGAAAATGTCTACTCGCGTTTTAGCGTTTTAGCTAAGGCGTCGGATTTGCAATTGAATGGTGGTAGGTTTAAACCACATCCAGTATTTTCTTAAGGTAATCGTAACACACGCCTTGGTGGATAACAAGAATGGCTACTGGAAGACACTAGAAACCCATGTTAAAAGTCGTATGACGTTATAATAAAAGTAAATGTAAAAAATGAAACTAAACCCATTTTTGGTTAAAAGAAAATAAGAGGGATTGTTAAAAATTTCCATAGCGATGAAATATTCTGTCTTGTATTTTCAGTCGATCACTATAGTTCCACGAATGTCCAACCTTATCCAATTACTACCACGTTGCAGTGTAAACATGCATTCTGTTGGAATAATTAGCAGATTACACTATTTCTATGATGTTCTAACGTGGTGTTCAATTTGTAAATAATAATGGAAATAATGATAGTTTGTTTAAAATATACAAAATGTGACGAAAAAAGTGATAGGTACTTACCTTAGTTAGATTTATTGCTGAAGTTACTATACTCATTAGAAATAAAATATAACCTTGCGATAACTAGATAAGAACTGTTAACATTGAATGCTACTATGAATCTCTCGGAGGTTTGCTAAAGAAAAAAAAGCCCTACCTTAGCAGATTAAATAGCGCGAAAGACGATCACAGCCGACTTGAGGAATTGCGAGTATTCTAGAAAGAGCCAAATAAATCGTAGTCTTTGACATCATGGACTGAAAAAGCGCGCGGAATGACATAATGGCAGTAGTTCTTTTTTTACTGCAGTTTGATGTTGTATAATTTATATTTTTCCAGTATTATAATGACAGAGGTATAAACTCGTTTTGGAGGTAGCTGTTATAATTGCGACAAGTTCTTTGTGCACTTCTTATAACTGGTAAATTACAAGGGCCCCTTATGGTTTCTGTGTGGCCTCTTAT